TTTTTAGTAGAGACAGGGTCTCGCTCTTGCTCAGGCTGGTCTCGAACTCCTGACCTTGAGTGATCCACCAGCCTCGGCCTCCCAGAGTGCTAGGATTACAGGCATGAACCACCGCGCCTGGCCAAGGGTGCTGGATTTTTTTGAATGCTTTTTCTGCATCTGGTAAGATAATCATATGGTCTTTGTTTTTGTTTTTGTGTATGTAGAGAATCACATTTATTGATGAGATTTCCTTTTTATTATGTACTCTTGAATACCTTTGGAATTTTGTACACATGCATTTGTTAGCTATTCAAAGTTTTTAAATTTTTAAAACATTAACAATTTCAAATTTTAACTTATAGGTAGATAATAGAAAGCAAGTAAGAATTTTTTAAAGAAGAAAATAAAACACAAAATTGGACGTGTGTCACAGAAAAAGTGTTGGCAATGTGGAAAATGGATTGGGTAAAGGAAGGGACGTTTTAAGGAAATAGAAGCTGGTCACCAAATGTCAGATGCTAAGGAAGAACCAGAAATGGGAATGAAAAGGAATTTGGGTTTATCAGTTAGAAGGTTGATTAATTTCTTTTGTGAGAATAGTTTTAAGAGAGTGGTGGACAATAGCCAGACTGCCATAGATTGATGAATGAATTCAGTGAGGCAGTAGATATAAGACATTTTTAAAGGGAAATGAAAGTTATTTAATAAGATGATATTTTGATCATGCCTGTCTGGTTTTTCCAGACAGTTCATCTAATATAAGAGCATTGGTCACATATCCAAAGTCTAGTACAGTTTGATTACTTACAGACTATATGATTCTGGCTGCTTGTTTCACTTCAGTAACATTTACTTGAGGAATTCAGTTGGCTTATCTATAAAATATGAAGATGAGTGGACTGCCAAATGTCTAAGATCTCTTTTAGTTCTCACATTGGGTGACTGACAGCTGACTAGCACGTGCAGTTGTCAAGATCATGGGCTTGGAGGCAAGCAACCTGGGTTTTAATTCAGTCTCCACCCCTCATTGGTTATGTGATTTGGAGTAGGTTACTTAATCTCTCTTACTTTGATTTTTTGACCCATAAAATGGGAATAATAATAGTAATATATAGAGTTATTGTAAGATTAAATGTAAAATACTTTACAAGGCTCCTGGCATGCAATAAACACTTAAAAGTGAAAACCATTTCAGGGGGGATTAAGTTCAGCTACGTTTAACAGAAAAGTCCCAAATCAGTGCTTTTATAAGAAAGAGCCTAATTTTTCCTAATGTAAAGGAAGTTAGAGATGGGCAATTCATGGTAGGCAGCACCACGACATCATCTGAACTCAGATTCCTTCTTTTTATCTGTTCCGTCATTCATAGTACATGATTGCCATCGTCAAGTTTACTTCATGGTAGCAAAATGATTGCTGCAGCTCCAACCATTACATTCATATTTCAGGAAGTAGGAAAAGAGATGAGGCAAGGACAAAGGGAGATCCTCCCAGCTGAGTCAGCCCTCTTTAAAAGTTTTCTTGGATTCTTACCCAATGACTACAGTTTCCATCTCATTGGCCTTCACTATGTATTGCCTCCTCAGTATAGGGGTTCTGGTACTGGAAGGCAACTAGCAGGAATATTGTGATTGCTTTTATTTTACTTTGTAACCACTGACCACATTATTCATACATCATCCCTTAGGTTTCTGGTTTTGGTTTTTGGTTTTTGGTTGTTGTTTTTTTTTTCTGTTACTACTGCTACTAAAAGTATGGAAACAAGTAGACTGCAGCTGTCATTTAAACCTCAGAGAATCAAAAAAACCTCAAAAAGTGTAACTATTATAGAACTATGTAGTTTTTAGCATTTTGAGATCAACCGTAAAATCACACTAACACCTGGTGTTATTATTTCCCATCGTAAATGAGAGCTTGATTTTTGAAGTAGGAAATGTGACTGATTCTAAAAGAAGCAGAAAATTAACCAAAATAAGTTGACAAACAAAACTAACAAGTCAATTCTTACCAGTTTTGTTGGTGATCACATTAATTTTCTGTGGGATTTAGAGCTAAAGCACAAGCAAATAAAATTTGTAAATGTTCTATGTCTTCTCTTGCATCGTTATGGCAATATCGACCAGGAAGGAAATTGAGATAACACAAAATTGTCTAATGGATATTAGAAACCATGTAATACCACCCTTTTTCAAATCTGAATTGAGCAAGTTATATCAGTCTCAGGTAATTGAATATAATTAATAATAATTTAAAAGTCTTTATAAAAATTGATATATTACATGTTATTATGTAATGTCTCTTTCTTGATGTTGTTTAATTCTTTCTTGCATTGACCTGAATGACTAATCATCTTTATCCTTCAAATCCATATTCTCACAAGCATGTAATAGGGAAGACTAATTTCAGGTCTTGTACCTAAGTAGAAGTTCTCTGCTGATGTATTCCTGTCATTCCCACTTCCTGCCTTGTAATCTCACTATGAATTACCCTCTCTCATCTATTTTAAGCCCTTTTTTCAGTGGAATCCTTCCTTTCTATGATTAGCCTCTGATAAACCCCATTTTGAAGTGTTTATTCCATTAAAATTTCCTCACCCATCAGCTACTGAGATAGCACTAAGAGATTCTGAGTTTTTGCAAGTCCACAGAGGCAGAATGCTCTTTCCCTCCTCTATGTGAGCCTTGCCTTAGGACCACAGCCCCGCCCTTCCCCTCATGGCTGCGAGTTCACTGAAACAGAGAAGCAAAGTGTATATTTTCATGTCTTCAGAACTCCCTGCATTTCTACAAAAATTCCAGATGCTATTACTAACCAGAGGCTGCCTAAGAAGAAATTACTGGAAATTACAACTAATTAACAAAAGCTAGAATTGAGTTAATTAGTCTCTTGAAGAACTTTTAGCTTGTAAACTTTATTTTCAGGGCCTTAAAAAATATGCTTTCGTCATTGCTCATCAACTTATATTTGTGATAGTTGACTTGTAGCCATATGTAAGTCTAAAATAAGTCTTTTGGTTTTTCCTTTAAGTCTAATTATCTGGACAGCCTTTCAAAAAAACTGCCTCCTTTCACAAAGAAAGATGAAGATGCAAACAAAACAACAGTTGAAAATAAATATGATCTTCCTCCAGGTAATACGTTAGTGTAGCTCTTATTCCTGTTAAATGTTCTTAACCGAATAATACCTAACAGCGGCCTCTTAGAACATAATAGTTATGTTTATACCCCCTTTTGTCTCAGTAATAGCTGATGACATAACCTGCTGTGACCTGCTTATCACAGATTTGGCTGAGTTATATGAGGGAACCAAGGAATAAATAACATTTAATTTCATCCTATATGCTTAAAATTTACCTAAAAGCATTTAAAAGACCTGACTAATATAAAAAGCAAGGGAGTAATGAAAGGTTGTTGGGGAACAGGGTATTCACATGGTCTCAAAATATCATCCCACATATTACTTATTAATTATAAAGAAGAAAATGTGTTTTTACAATGGAGACATACAGCATTTTCTACCTTCACTAACCAATCAAACTTCTACCAATAGCGAGACAACCTAGCATTACTTTCTTGTGTAATGCAACATGAAGTGCATAGTACCTACATAGAATTCTTGCCAAAAATCCCTACCATGAATCTAATCAAGAGGAAACAACCAGATACATGTCCCCGCTAATGTATACATTCTATAAGACGACTGGCCTGATCTCTTCAAAAAAGTCAATGTCATTAAAACAAAAAGGATGAGGTGATTATACTAGATTAAAAGAGACTAAAGCATCATAAAAACAACGCAAACTTTGATTGGATCCTGGACTGAGAATAAAAATAGCTATGAAAGATATTTGGGGGAAACTGCACAAGTTTGCTTGGGAACTATATGTTAGAGGACATTGTGAAATTACTGTTAGTTCCTTGGGTATGACAATGTTGTAAATATACAGGAGAATGTTTTCATTCTTTGTGGATGCATGCTGAAGAATTTAGGGATGAAATGAAATTTAGTGCTTCTCTTTAATAAACTGAGTAGTTAAACACCCAAATAGAGGAATTTTTGACTGTACAATACAGCATCAGAAGTTCAGCTACCTGTAATGAACACAGCCAATGAAAACATCTAATTACGACAATTTGCAAAGCAGAGATTAAGGCTGGGAACGATGACTTGTAAATGGGATGGAGAGAAATCATGGAGGGAAAGTTGATTGTCTTGTGCTGCCACTCAGACCTCCTGCGCGCTGGGCAGACAGCACTAATGAAGCTCAGCCTCCCTTCCCCTTGAAAGGCGAGGCCGTGGGAGCCTTTTCAGCTCAGTACTCCAGGTAGCCACAGCTTCCAACCAGTTGGTCAACACATACAAGTTGAAATGTGTTTGATTCCCCAATCCTAGATATATTTCTTTAAAATCTGTTTAATTTTGCACCTATTTCTTAGATACGTTTTAATAAAGAGCTGCATGTTCATATGTAATTAATGGATTTAAGATTGGAAACTTTTTTTGTTAAATTGCATCTCAGTTACCATTACCAGGTAAAAGTAGAGACAAATTATTTGGCCTCTACTTCCTAACACAACAAGGGACAACTTTTCTATTTGGTCATAATGCCCATGAAAACCAGCTGGCTCTTAAGGAGTGTGAATTTTGTGGGTATATACCATCCTGTTTGTTAATGGAAAACACTGTATCAAATTTGAAGAATCCCTGCCTCCTAATGGCTCTCTTACATTTTGCCTTTCTAAAGAGGGTGGGAGAAAAATCACTTTGTTCATTGTAAAACACCTTGTTCAATGTTTGTTCATACAAACATTAGTAGTTGTATTATTGTCAAAAATATGGCTTTATAATGTTCATTTTGGGTTTTCTAGATTCCAAACCATATAGTGTTTCAGAACAGGAATCTTCGCCTGATCTTTCGAAGTCACAGATTTCTGTGGATATGAAGGAATTCACTGGCCAGAACCAAACTGAAAATTTAACAAAATCTACTGAAGGTATGGCAGTCTTTGCTCTATCTTATTATTGTTTCTCAAAATGAAACATTATGTCTTTTTGGAATATGAGAGATGGTGCTAGGGGCTGGGGTGTAGTTGGCAATTGCAGAAAATTCTAGAGGAACATGGATCTTGGAGCTATGCAGCTTTGCAAGGCTTCTTAGCACATCAAAGGATCTCAAAAAATATTTCAAGAATGACTACAAATCCCAGATTGAAGGGAAGAAATTGCAAATACTTTTTTTAGATTTATTATTTTATTTTATTTCATTACATTTCATTTTATCTTCATGGTTCTGAGAGCTCGTGTGATTCATTGAAGGTGAGGCACCTGATAGCTTTTCTTGGGCAGCCAGGAATTTGGTAGTTAGACTAATATTTAACTATTATTCCAGTGCTTTCTTGGTCCTACAGGTGCTGGAGAAAAGCGTAAGATATAGTCTCTGTCTTACATGCACATAATCTTATTAGACTAGCAGAAACTAAAATATAGAATAATACGGAATAGTATACAGTTACAATGGAGTCACATTACACTGATTTCACTGAAGTCAATTCAACTAAATATGGTTGGTCAGAAAAGAGAGAGACAGACAGAGAGACGGAGGCATAATAATTTAGATTGTGAAGATAATGTTGCCACCACTTGATTCCTATGTGTGTGTTCCACACTGAATGTGAGGGGGAAAATCTACTGATAGATCTTAGTTATCTCTTACAGAGCAAGTATCTTGCTACATTTATGGTTGAATTAAGAGATTTACCCTACACAAGACATTTGCCTTCCTGAAAAACTTCTCTAGTATAAGGTTTATTCATTTGGTCGATAATTACTCAATACCCACTATATGCCAGGCATTGTTCTAGACATGGAAATGTAACAGTTACAAGGCCAAAGTCTTATGGAGCTGTCCATTCTATGGACAGACATAGACAATAAGTAAACAAATAATTTAGGTAAATTCAGAGTATAATAAATGTTATAATAAAACAGTGTAATGTATGGTGAGTAACTTGGGCAACATTCCATCAAGGGATTAGAAGGTGTCTCTGTGAAGGAGTATTTGAGCTGAGCTAAGTACAAGAAGCAGTAGCCATGCAAAGATTAGGGTGAGCAATATTTCAGGTAGCGAAAACAGTTAAGTGTGAAGGCTTCGAAGGGAAGAAACACATTAAAAAGTCACACAGCTAGTACAAAATGAGCAAAGGAAAAGGTAGAGGAAGGTAAGGCAAAAGGGAAGGCAGAGATGAGTTCTTTATAGGAAGTTTCGAGTTTCGTCCTAAATGCAGAAAGATCACTCTATGAGGATAACAGCTTGTGGCAAGGAAAGGGAGGAGTGGGGGAAAGCTGAAGCCCAGGACTGAGGTGGTTGAGTTGGGAGTGGTGAGATGCAAATTAATCGGAAATACATCATGGGAGTGGAGCCAATAGGCCTTGCTGGCTGGTTGGATATGGACGTGAGAAAAAAGAGGAATCAAGAATGATTCCTAGGTTAACTTAGGTAATTCGCTGTGAGGCCAGAAATCTGTAGTTCTAAGGAGTTGGTAGGTGGTGCTGATGTTGCTAGTACAGACAGGATCACGCTTTGAGAACCGCTGCCCTGAGGCAAACTCTAGACTGCAAAAGTCAGAGGAGGAGCCAATAAGGGCAATTAAGAAGAAGAAGCCAGTGAGGTAGGAGAAAAACAGGAGCAGGAAATCACTGTTTCAAGTGTATCAAATGTTCCTGAAAGGTCAAGCAAGGTAAGGAATAAACATGGGATTGGGCAAGGCAGAAATCACTGGTGATTCTTGACAAGACAGTTTCTGGGCATGGAGAGGACCAAAGCCCAAGTGAGTGGGTGATGGATAGAAGGGCTGAAGGGATAGCAGTAGCAAGAATACATAGCTTTACCCATGGGTTTTGGTGAAAAGACTAGCGAAATGGGATTGCACATGAAGAGGGATATGTAATCAAGGGAGAGCTATTTTTCTAAAGATTAGACACACTAGAGCATGTTGATTTCCAAATGACAATAATTTCATAGTAAGAGAGAACTTGATGCAGGAGAGAGGGGCACTTAATCGCAAGACAGCAAAGTCCTAAAAAAGGTGAGAGAACATGGCATCTTGGGCAAACCCTGAGTGGCAGAGTTGACCTTGGAGGAACACAGTTACCTTATCCATAGTAATGAAGAGAAGAGAGAGAATATGGATACGTTTGCAGATAGATTGATAGATTCGGTAAAGGGAAGATGAGAGAGAGTTCCTGTCTGATTGCAAAGAAGTGGATGCTATCATTGTATCATCAAATATATTCCATATAAACAGAAAAGCAAAACAAGAAGGGAGTGACTGTGTAAGGCGATGATGTCCATTGGCCAGAGGTCGCAGTGAGGTCACGTAACTGCCTGCAGGATGAGGTAGAGTAATAAATTGGAAGAACAGGAAGTGGTAGTCTAGAAAGGGATGCTTTAAACTGAGGTTTTGAAAGTGGTAAAATTATTGGTGTTGGCAAAGTTAAAAATATGACCATGAGAGTTTCTAAGGTGGAAAAGACGAAGAAACTGAGTGATTGAGAGTCAGAAAGGACAGGGTGTTGCATGGATCACCCAGGTGACGTCACCAGGAAAGATGAAGTGGAAGACCATCTCAGGTATTAAAATCTCCAGTGAATAAAGGGGATGACTGTGAGAGGTTGGAAAAAGACAACTGCTTGGAGAAGTAGTAGCTAATACAATCTCATAGCACAAGCTTCAAAGGAACGAAGCTTTGAAGGAAGAAAAGGAAATAGTTCTGAAACAAGCACACCTACTGTACCCCCAGGTACTGAG